CAACATCAAGTTTTTCATAATTACACATTTAATTCATAATTACACATTTAATTAAGCCAACCATTAGTAATAATGTAGGGCTGAACAAATGTAGAATCTGTAAGGTAAACTTTTTCCTTTCAAAGGTAACATCTTTGTGTGTCAGTTTATTCTCAGCTATTTGCTATGGACTGTTTTATAACAGGTGGACATGATTCCCATGATAACCAAGGAAAGTTCATTAGCAAGAAATGCAAGTTACAGCAAATCATCCGTGAAAAAAAATATACTTCCATCCAACCTGTTAACAAAAACTACATCAAAACACTACTAGTAGCAAAGCTCTGCTATTTGATCTCATGCATAATTAAAAGCTGTCCAGGGGAATATTCAAAGGAAAAAATGAATGTGGGAACTCAAAAAAAGAAGCTGACAAGCAGCAAAATTGCAGTAATCTTGTATACATGCACTAGCAGATATGCATACACGGAAGGAGAAAAAATCCACTCTTAAAGTTCTGTCAAATTAAAGAGGAGTTACAGAAACATCAAGTAACAGTAACATCTATCAAAGTCATCCTGTACTGAATTCTAAAATAAAACACTTTTTACATACAATTTAAGATGGCATTTAAAAATGGCCATGAAAGAATTCACAACTTTGCAATAAAACAAGACAGTATTAAGTCAGGTGTTTTGAAAAAGTTTAACAGGCACAAATATTTTTAGATTCCCTTGGTAGTCTTAGCTCTCTATGCTACAGGAGGCTGCTCTACTGGGTTAACTACTACTGTGCCTTGTAAGACTTGAAAACCTTTTAACACCTCCCTAAGCCACAGAATGCATCCCCAACATTAACAATGCCTCAGACCACATCCTTTGGGAAGAGAAATAGGAATTCTCTTCCTTTGGGAATAGAAATAGGAAGGCATGGAGGAGCTGATAGTCCCATCACATGGTATAGTGTATCTCCCCATCCAACACGGGCACCAAGGAAAAGATCAGGTCTTTGCCCCACAGTAGACAGCCTCAGAGGGCTGCGATCCACCACACAAGGTCCAGTTGGAAGTTAGTCACTTAGTGAGGTTTGCTTGGGTAAACCCTGGGTACTGGGCCAGTACTGTTTAACATCTGGAAAATAAGGCAGAGCACACTGTCAGCACATTTGCAGATGACACAAGATTTGGAGGAGGAATTGCTATACCAGGTAGTTGTGCTGTCATTCAGAGAGGTCACAACAGGCTTGAGAAATGGGCCAATGGGAATGTCATCGAGTTCAGAGGGAAATGCCAAGCCCTACAGCTATTAAGGAATAATGTCAGGCACCAGTAGAGGCTGGGGACTGGCCAATGGGAAGGCGGCTTTGCAGAGAAGGATCTGGAGATCCTAATGGACACCAAGTTGAACACGACCCAGGAAAGTGTCATAGAATCATAGAATGTTACGGGTTGGAAGGGATCTTGAAAGATCATCCAGTCCAACCCTCCCTGTCAGAGCAGGATCCCCTAGGGCAGCCACATAGGAACACGTCCAGGTGGGTTTTGAAAGTCTCCAGAGAAGGAGACTCCACAATCTCTCCGGGCAGCCTGTGCCAGTGCTCTGTCACCCTCACAGGAAAGAAATTTTTCCTCACGTTGAGGTGGAACTTCCTATGTTCCAACTTAAATCCATTATTCCTTGTTCTATTGCTGGGCACCACTGAGAAGACATTGTCTCCTTCCCCTTGACACTCACCCCTCAGATATTTCTATACATGAATAAGGTCCCCTCTCAGCCATCTCCTTTCAAGGCTGAACAGCCCCAGTTCTCTCAGTCTCTCTTCACAGGAGAGATGTTCAAGTCCTCGCAGCAAAGAAGGCCAACAGCCTCCTGGGCTGCACTGGGAAGAGCACTGCCAGCAGGTCAAGTGAGCTGATCCTTCCCGTCTATTTCACGCTGTTGAGATCACATCTGGGGTGCTGAGTCCAGTGCTGGGCTCTCCAGTACAAAGCTGACATGGAGCAAATCCAGTGCAGTGCTGTGCAGATATGAGGAAAGGCTGACAGAGTTGAGATGTTCAGCCTAGAAATGAAAAGACTGAGGGAGATCATATCAATGTACATAAATATCCAACAGTGCTGGGGGAAGCCAGACAATGCTCAGTCATGACCAGAAAAGGGACTAGGGGGATGAGAAATTGCATTTGAACACAACAAAAAGAATTTTTTATAGGTTTAAGTTGGAACATAGGAAGTTCCACCTCAACATGAGGAAAAATTTCTTTACTGTGAGGGTGACAGAGCACTGTCACAGGCTGCCCAGAGAGCCTGAACACTGGAATTGATTGTCCAAGAGAGTTTGTGAAGTATCCAACTCTGAAAACACTCCGAAGACAGCTGGGTACAGTCCTGACAAACTGGCTCTGTTTCACCCTGTTCTCAGCAGGGGGATTAGGCAAGGTGATCTGCAAAGGTCCCTCTCAATCTCATCCTTTCTATGATTCTGACAAATTATTTAAATGAAGCTATTAAACAACCTTTCACAGAAGGAAACAATAAGAAGTGGTGATTGCCTTTTCTAGGTTATTGCTGGGGTGTGGATTCAATCCCCTGCTAATTAATTCATAAGTTCAGCAGTTCTGACAATTTCTGACTACATGTTTTAAGTTAAAAATGCCACGATTCTTCAATAAGCAGTTTTTAAATATATGTAGCACAAACAAAAATAAATAATATGCAAGTTAAAAGTAGATTTGGCATCTTTACGTCTCCTCTTTTTTCATATGTGATTGTAATTAAAAATGTCTGCCTAGAAAAGATTACATCACCTTTCTAGATAAAGTGACTGTTCAGAAAGGGAAGCTTCCAGCATAAATTATTTGTAGTATGGATGTCTTGAATCACTTCATTTCTAATGAGCAGTACCTTGAGAAAACTCTGTTGCATTCTCTGGGAGTGAATATGTACTGTCTGGGGCTCAGGTTTTCTTTTATGGCTGGGTACAGCACCATTTTTCTGACAATGCAGTTTCAGAACGAACCAGCTTTTGCTCTTTATCAACAGGATAGCTCTTCCGTTTGCCACTCCAACGGTATTTCGGACTGTGTGTTTCAAAGCCATGCACAAATAGATTACAAGGCTACTCTTGCACATTAATATCCAAACGAGGTGACCAGAAATCAACACAGTACTTCTGTGCTAATCTTGAGCATTATTTATTTCAACAGTAAGAAAAAAATACGTTGTCCAGTGGAGGACCACCAGGTCAGAGTGCTTCTCCTTGCAAAGGTGACCTATGAAACTGGTTTGGGGCTGGCAAACTGTCTCTAAATCATAACAACAGAATTACCAGCTATGACATATCAGGTCACTACCATACAACCCGATGTTAAATATTGAGACCAGGTATTCAGAAAGCATCAGATATCGTCCAAGTGTCCGCCTGCTCTCCTACTTGTTTCCTGAAGGACAGGGAGGATGGGCAGTTAGGTTGGCAGTCCAGCTGCTTTCCAGTGACATTTCTGAATGCACTTAAACTAAGTTAGATTAAGGTGCTTGAACTTTTTGATTTGGAAACAATGTCCCCGAGTTCTCCTGTAAAGAAGGGAGCAGAGACAGAAGTTCCGGGGCAATTCAAAAAAGTCAGTGGGATCTCTCTTCGATAGCAGCTATTAATATTGACTACCCAAGAAGACTAAAGCAAATATGCTACACACTTCAGATAGGAGTATAAAGCTGGAAAAGACTAATGTGGGTCTTGAAACTATACCTATTATATTTAATTTGTAACAGCAGAATGCTGCAAGGAGATATAACAAATATTACTAAAACAAAGTTACTGTTTTAATACTTAAGCTTTATCTTAGCACACAATTTGTTACAAGCACAACCAAACAGCGGTACATTGAAGATACCCTGGTATCCTGCACCACATTATTTGCAGTCTGTGAAACAGTGAGGAACACTTGAAAAATTGCTCTTTTGACATTTTTCTAGAAATAGATGAACCATCAGGATACTGTTTTTCACTCAGCATCCCTTGTTGTGCACTGTGGTAATATCTGCTCAGATACAGATGAATGAAAACAACCACATTCCTCACCTCTCAAATGGACCAGATAATACAGAATTCAGATCAGTTTGTGTTTTTCATTAAACTGGACATGTTTACAAGTCAGATAAAAGCAATACTTGCTCAAATGACCCCCTTTCCTCTGTTTGGAAGATTTACTGAAGGCAATATAGAACAGCAACAACAGTCAATCATAGGTGGCAGACTGCCCTTTTATTAGGCATACTGAGCCAATTAATCTAAGAGAGCTTTCTCCCTCCACCTCCTGGAGGCATGTACGGTTAGAATGCACTTAAAAATTCTGCAGCAATAAATAAAGGTGCTGAAACTATTCATCTGAACTTTGAGAAATTATTTACAGGCAGCTGAGATACTAACATTCTACATACTCTGCTGGGCAGTATAATTGGACTAGGTCCAAGACTTAAAAATTGAAGTTTTAAACCAAGGCTTTGTGCTATGCCATGGGGTAGCAGGAAGAGAAAGGAATGCCTTTGAAGAGAGGTAAAAGCAGTAGGAACACTGAAACCTGCCTTGAAACGGACTAAAAAAAGCTGAGTTAAGCAGAAGTCTTCAATAAGAGTTTCAAGAGAAGGTGGGCTACTGAAACAGTCACACATGCACAGCACAGAACTAATCAATTATTGGATTTCATTTTTTGACATCAGATTAGCTGAGATTTATAGGAGATACCAAAGGCCATTTGAGGTGAAAAGCAAGTCTATGATAATCTTATTAATTATGAAACATCAAAACCCAAGATGTCTTAATTCATATTCTCATTTCTGCAGTTCATGTGCTTCTAATTAGAACTGCTGTAATATATTCTCTTAGGAGGCATATTAGAAAAGTGAGTAACTTTTTAGTAGCAGCTTTGTCTTTCAGGGCACACACTTAAATAATCCTTCATTCTTGGATTACCTCAGACATCCTCCTTGGATACTTTAATCGTAAATTCAGTTATAATCTTACCAGTTTCACAGCTGGGCCCAGTGAAGCCTTGTGGGCAGGCACACACATTGGAAGAAATACAGGCTCCTCCGTTCCTACATCCATCTTTGCAAAATGCTGCAAAATGCAAAATCACAATACATGGGTAGCAGAACTAGGCTCAGCAACCGCGCAGGTGGCCAGGGGCTGCTGGCAGGCTGACAAGAAATGCGGTCCCTGGGGCACCGAGTGCCGAGACTGCCTTCTCCTCAACACAGAGGTCAGGAAGAGATGGTTTATGGCCCCCCTGCCTCACTGGCCAGATGGACTGACATGCTACAGGAGGAGATTACGGTAAATTATCTGAAGGCAACAGCTCACATATGTGCTCCTTCGCATGCACTGGGAAGCAGTGAAAGGCAGCATCTTCCCTAGGAACGGACTCTTCCTAGGGCAGTGCTGGTCTTCGCTGCTGCCCAAAAAAAGACCTGGGCAAAACAGGCACAACTGAACACCAAATTGTCCAGCTACCTTAATCCTTGATTAAGCAATTATACCGGAACAATAAAAAGAGTAATTTTGTCTCAAGATATTCTGAAGAACTTAAAAACTTTTACAATTTGAACTTGATCCCTGGATTTTTCTTTGTCACACTGTAACCTGAGAAGTCGTGATTACTTTATTTTGGTGCAGCATTCTCCAGCCACAGTTGTGAATCAGTGCACACTCTAAAGAGTCCCTTCTGTGGACACAGAAATGAAACCAGCTCCGACAGAAAACACAGCAGCTGTTAATTGCTCTGATTGAATCCTCAATATGGAATCAGAAATGCTCTGGTCACAAGAAACTGTAGGCAAAAGTAGGCAGATGGAGATTATCACCAACATATGGAGTTTCTCTGGGGCACTGGTCTAGCCCTGCACTTGTAACCAGCCACCAGAGATGCCAGGCTTTGGTTTGCAGCTGCACTGTGTAACAGCAACACTGATGAGGTCTTAAGGCTCATCTGAGAGAGAACACAAGCGTTACTGATTGGAGCTTTACAACTCCCAGTTTCCAGGCACCAGCTTTTTGGCAGAAGATCCCCTGGTACTGAGACATCTAAGTTTTGTGATGCAAGACAACACAGTGCACAGGAGTACACCATGCATGAAAAGCTGCCAAAGGCATGGGGACAAGAGGTGTATCCAGGTCTCTCTGAAGGACTTTGGAGTCCAAGCCAGGGCTGCAGAGAAGTACATTTGTCAGACTGGGATACACAGACTCAAAGCCTCTTCCTGCATACTATCTTCTCAGTACTGAAAAGGGAGAGAGGGATGCACTTTTCTCCCATAGCAGGTACCCTCTGAAATGTCAGACCTGCCAGTTGTGCTCTTATTCAGGGAACAGAAGAGACTCGCATAGTGCACTAGGGTTATAGACCTTTTCTTTGGCCCAAAGAAATCTCCGTTACCTTTCTGTAAGTTGATCCACCTCCAGCAGATAGACTGAGGAATAGTCCCAAGCACAGCTCATGTGTGAGCTGCACAGACAGAGCTCTCTTCTGAGAACAGCAGCTCTAGGTTTGAACCTCCTCAGGCAAAGACTTTTTTCCCATTCCCCACAGGAGGGAGCCCAGCATAAAAGGGTATATTTGCTGACACATCTACCTCCACCCATGTGTGTGATGGGAAGCAGACTGGGCTGCCGTGTTTTACAAAGAGCTCATTTTATGTTAGGAAACACAATAGAAATAAAAGCAGCATTGTATCTCTGGGAAAGCATCTTTTTAAGACTAGAATTATAGCTACTGGTGTAGAGCAGTGAGTGAGAAAGTGAGAAAACAAGGCACCACCTCACAGGTAGCAAAGGTCTTGTGCATGCCTGTCTACTGCTTCTCTCATTTACAATCAGAAAAAAAAAAAGACACAGCATAACAGTTCATCCAAGTAAAATTGCAAGTGATTGATCATGGACAATGTAGATCTGACAATGTTTTCACAGCTGTAACTGCTGGTTAAGTGTGGGCTTCTTTGAATGGTGTAGCATGTATAGAAACTCTTCACTTGACACAAAAATGAAACATAATCACTTCAAATTTTAGCACATACCCTCTATGTAGGCATCATCCTCAAATTACTGTTAACTCTGCCAAATGCAAAGTCAGTGTGTATCCGCCTGTGCAGATCTTCTTGTAGGTGCAGGACCTAACTGCCTAGTCTAGATTTTGTCTGTCTTCTTCAAGGCACATGACCACATTTGCATCAGCTAGGACAAAGCATCTCAGCCCCTTCAAAGACTGATGAGGCTCGAGGTTTCTAGAAGCTTACCTTTGCAGATGGTGCCATTTCCCGTGTAACCTGGCTTGCAGACGCAGTTGTGCCCACCCACGGTGTTGAAACAGAGCGCATTCTCATCACAGTTGTGCTGGTTCGTTATGCATTCATCATGCTCTGAAAAGGGAAACAAGAATGGGATGGCCCTGATTGTTTTAAAACACCGCAGAATAAAAGCTTTGTATGAGTTCCACGCTAGAAAGAGATAAACACAGTAGTTCTTACTGACAACAGAGCAATGTGAACATGTAACCACGGGATAGCGAGGTTATATCCTTTTATCACATACTAGTATGTGATAACTGTGTTGCAGCATAATTCCACTGTCATCAACAGGGAGCCACCATCATTACACTTTCTATGTAGGGCTACAGTGTTCTCATAAACAATTGCCAAAGAGCCGGCTAGCATACTGAAAATCCATATGCTAGTTCTACTGTATAATTTATTCATGCAGGTTTATCTTAGACGGGATTCATCGGTTTTCCTTCAGAAAGCTGACTAATGGTGCAAGACACATGCTCCAAACTGCAAAAGATATGGTTAGCAGAAGGCAGGACTTCAAAATGTAGCCTATATTTTCCCTCCCTTCAGTGCATAAGCAGCACTTTCTTTAGATAAAATAAATAACCCAAAAAGAAAAGGTTTGCCTGCTGTTCAAGAGTTCTGGCATGGCATGTCCTACTAACAGAGCGTGATGGATGAGACTCCTCAGTCTGGTGACTACACTTACATATGACTACACTGACGTACTGGGAAATATCCCTTTTGGGAATAAAGGGAAAGTCTGGACAGTACGATTCTGCGTTAATTTAAAATGCGTTGTTTAATCTGAAACAAAAAAAAAGTCTTATAAAAGTGTTTAAGTTGCTGAACACTTTCATGTTTAATTCCTGATTTTCAAGAAATGGGAAATGAAATTTCAAAATAAGATACTTTAAAGTGTAATTTCAAAATGCTATGTGAAATTCTCTACTATTTTCAAAATGCAATATCTCAGCTGTAGGCATCAAAATGTCTGTCTTCTGGAAATATTCCCTGCCTTTTCTCTAAATCAACTGTATTCATCTATCCATAAATAATTTCAGACCCCTGAAATTTTTATTTCAGGAAAATCAGCTGTTGGGGAACATAAAAGCACCTAATTTCCATCAGCACACATGGACTAATCTGCATGTGAGGTTTTCATAGCCATCATTGTGCTCAGGTTTTAGCAAATTTTATTAGTGTAGCTTATGCCAGTTCTGGCTATCTGACACAAGTCTTAAATCTGGAATCAGATTTCTTTCTTCCCCAGTCGTAGGTAAGTCACCCTGCTCTGAATCTTCTCCTTTATAAATAAAGAGCCGAAGTTTGCACGTACACCACGGAGTTGTCAGGAAAATTAATTTCTTAACATTTGCAAATCGCTATGGAGATGTTCAACTCGCTATTTTAATACCAGCCATAAACTGTAGGAGTATAAAACCAGCAGAATGGCACATCTCTAATCCATCAGTAAGTGTAAATTGTCCTCTAGTAATAGCAAGTACTTGTTGTTTAAAAGGGAGGAAAAAAATCACTACGATGTAACTAATCAATTTTAAACACTACACAGGTTTAGATCTATATTTTTGGTGGGTTTGTTGTTGCTGGTTTGGGGGGTTTTTTTGGCTTTTAATAATACAGACCTACTATCCTTCATCTAAACAAGGACTTATGTGTCTTTTATATCACCAACAATGCTTCCCTCAACCCTCAGCACCAAGGCACAAGCACTTACCGAGCCAAGGCCCTTGCTGGATGCTGCACAGCATGGGCTGGGGGCCTCTGCCCTGAAGCACGAGATTTCATTACTTCGCTCTCAGCATGAATAACTACAATTGTTATTGTTCTCCAAATGACCCTGCCCCTGAAAAATCCAGTTACAATATCTGACTCCAACCTCCTAACATAGTGAAATCTCTCATGCTGTCTGAAACTATTTGTGCTAGACCAGCCAATAAAATAAAAGCAAAAATAGAGTAATGACCACACAAATGAAATTAAAAGTGTTACCTGTACTGTAATGATATCCTGGCTTTCTTGGTTTGTGTTAATGTTATGATGTTATTTAAATACGGCATGCTACTTAAATATTAAATATATATTATGTTCTCATTTTTAAAGGTTCTGTGTAACATTACAACAAGAAACTAACTGAAGAAATGTGTGAAACATTATGCACTCAGCAGGACAGATTTCCTTTGGATAGTATCTACTGGAGACCTTCTAGTGGACTTCCAGGACTTAAATGGGGGTTACAGGAAAGAAGGGGAGGGATTCCTTATCAATGAGTGTAATGATAGGATGAGGGTAATGGTTTCACACTGAAAGAGGGTAGATTTAGATTAGATATTAGGAAGAGATTACTTTCTGTGAGGGTAGTGAGAGGCTGGAACAAATTGCCCAGAGAAGCTGTGGAAGCCGCCTCCCTGGCAGTGTTGAAGGCCAGGCTGGATGAGGCTTTGAGCAACCTGGTCTAGTGGCAGATGTCCCTGCCCATGGCAAGGGCTTGGAGGTAGATGATCTTTTAGGTCCCTTCCACCCCAAACCATTCTATGATTCTATGATCTTACAAAGCCATTACCTCAGGTATCTCAGGAGGTAGGGTCTACACAAAAATACCATCACACTGGTAAACTCATCTCCAAGGCAGGGCCTTGAAGACCATTTGCACAGATGTATGATCCTCGTATAAAAATAAGATTGTCACATTTGAGTGTGCCTTCCTATAACATTTACTCTCTGGATTAAAAAATAAAAAATCAACTGCTGGGTCTTTTAAGATGGATTTTACTTAAAGTGTACAGTATCAATAAAACTAACTTTCCATCAGCTAAGTAATGGAGCTTGGATGCAAAGATAATATGCCTGGTTTCCTTACCCACATACAAAACGAGCATTTCTCATCCTCCTGTACGAAAGTGCATGGAGGTCTAGCATGTACCCCAAACTGTATCAAAATAGGCAACACTTCTGTAGCTATCTCCTCAGACTTCAGGTTTATTTTTATTTCAACCAAATATTAGTGACTCATGAAAAATTCATGGGTCTGATGAAAGATTCTTGGATTGAAGTTTACATGTCATTTTTTAGGAGGAAAATATCTCAGATTAGGAGGAAATTTTATGATTCAATTAAAGGAGCCGGGATTTTAAAACCACAGGAATGGAAAAAATCAGCAAATAAAAAAGAATCAGAATGTTTTATAATCTATCTAGATTTGTTGCTTTATCTCACCTGACTTTAGCTTCAGTAAGACAATGTAGACTGTCCAGCTATTTTAAAGACAGAAATCCTCATTTGCAATAAAAAGTGTGGTGTTTTTTGGAGAATTCTTTGTTATTTCATGCTTAACATTTTGCTTTCCTTTTTTTAATCAAACACTTGGAAAGTCACCTTAAATAAGGAGGACGTTGCTGAGACTGAGTTCAGCAATCTTAAATATCAGACAAGGAACTGTAGAAGCGAATAGGACCAAATATCACAAAGAAGAAGAAAATAATTTATAAAATAATTATTTAGAGAACCATTAATATGGTTTTTAAGTTCAAAAACCAGTATAGAAACATTATTTGCATTATTTAGAAATGTCAGTACTGTCCAAATATATTTCTGATGCTGCAAGAAGCAACACTAAGGCCATTTATTTCAAGCATCTTTAGAAATCATATGACACATTTAATATAAGCTCTATACTTGTTTCACTGCACACAAGAATGGGGATGGGGACAGGTCAAGTACAACAGTATTACAGAGGCAAAGAAATAAAAATTACTTTTGCAGAGAAATATTGATGATTAACCAACCTGAATTTGCATAAACATCTTCTATAAATCATAGAATCATAGAACCATAGAATTGTCAGGGTTGGAAGATCATCTAGTTCCAAACCCCCCGCCATGGGCAGGGACATCCCCCACTAGACCAGGTTGCCCAGAGCCCCATCCAACCTGGCCTTAAAAACTTCCAGGGATGGGGCTTCCACCACCTCTCTGGGCAACCTGTGCCAGTGTCTCACCACCCTCATAAGGAAGAACTTCCTAACGTCTAATCTAAACCGATCCATCTCTAGCTTTAATCCATTCCCTCTAGTTCTATCACTACCTGACATCCTAAAAAGCCCCTCACCAGCTTTCTTGTAGGACCCTTTAAGATGCTAGAAGGCCACAATAATACCAAATGCACTGGTCTCAAGGATTACTTCTAAACCTTTACTATTTATATTCCATTTTGCACTGTTCAGGACTCCATGCTCAAAAGTGTTAATATTCCTAAAATCTGTGTTCTGGGAATTAACCAAAGTTTTTAATACAGTGTTTAGACTGAATAAACTGTTTCTGGAATGAGGTGTTTCAAGGTAGGAAAAAAAATTTCAACTCCAAAATTTGCCATTGCTCCAGGGTAATAGCAATAGTACTAGGAAGTGCTCACGAATGTTCCATTCAGTAGTTCTTATGACACAGATGATTTAGTGATGCAAAAAATTATGTGACGATGCAATTAATTTGTTTATGTACATTTGGATGTGCAACAAATTGGTTATACACACATACACACAAATATATATAAACATGTGTACATACATATATATGCAAATACAGTAAGGGTGATATACTTTATTCTACTTCGGTTCATAGAATCATCGAATCGTAGAATGGCCTAGGCTGGAAGGGACCTTAGAGATCATCTAGTCCAACCTCCCTGTTTTGGGCAGGGACGCCACCTCTCGACTAGACTGGCAACACATGGTTCATTTTTAAATACTACTCCAGAATATTCCACATGGTTTTCTTGACAAAAATGTTGTTACTTCAGAAGGATATCTAGGGTGAAGTATTGCATCCTAGGGAGAGAGACTGCTGGCATAAATAGATCAGGATCCACTCATGTATGTCCGTACAACGGCAGCTGAGGATCTACCAAATTCACTATCTGTGCAGATTCTTGCAGAACTTTGTAAAATTTAACATGCTGTTCACAAGGTGTGTCACCTGCCTCCTCCTCATTATCCTAGCACTATGCAAGATTTGCCTCTATCCTTTTTACTGTGTATTTCATGATTAAAAATTAACAAAAGCCGGTATAGCATCTCC